TCCGGATGTTCAGTCTCATCGTCTTCCGAGCGCAAGTGACAGACTCGGGCCACTACCTGTGTGGGACTAAGCGAGGGGACTTCTTTTATGGCTACGACGTGGACGTGCAGCCCACCAAGCACATCACAGTGGCTTTTATGGACAGGGGTCAGCACGTCCAGGATGACTTCACGGCGAAGCCCTTCAGCCTCTTCACCACCTTCTGGGACTGGAGCAGATGTGACCGCTGTGGGGTGAGGGGTGAGCAGCGGCGGATCGGGCTCTGCTACGTGCGCAGTGCCCAGCTGCACCCTCGCTATCGTGCCACCCTGCCCAATGTCACATCCTGCGGCTCCAGAGCTGTCCCCACGCGTTTCCAACACCCCATCCGCCTCCGGAGACCCGAGGTGGCCATCCGAAGCTGCCTGACCCCTTGCCCGAAGGAGAAGGTCCCTGAGGAAGGTGTGCAGGCCATCTCCAATGTCATTGCCAAGCTGGGCGAGAAGCCCTGGCTGCCTCGTGTCCCCACACAGTTTCACAAGCAGCCCCTTGGAACTGACCTGGTCATCGCCTGCCCGGGAGCCCGGCCTGAGCACGCCGTGGCCTGGGACAAGGGCTCCGTCCGGCTCTACCGCTCCCGCTACCTCGTTGGTGTCAACAAGAGCATGCGGGTCTTCATCGACCACGGAAACCACCTGCACATCCAGCGGGTCTGGGTTGGTGATGGAGGCACCTACTTCTGCTGGCGGGAGGGTGAGATGGTGGCCGGTTTCAGGCTCAGTGTGTTCTACCAGCACCGGCGCAGGAGGACGCTCAGAGATCCCGAGACGATCTACGCCATCAAGGTCATCGGCATGAGCTACGTCATCGTCACCATCATCTTCATCATCATCCACGTGTGCCGCTGCTGCTGGCGGGTGCTCAGGTGCCCTGCCAGGAGGTAGGAGCATCTCCACCACCACCCCGATGGGTCACTCCTCCCCCTTGGGTCATTCTTGTTAGAAAGTTCTGATGTTCTGACCTTAAAAATCAATGTCACCAAACTGCCAGCACCGGCTCATCCTCCCTTGGGATCGAGAGTGTGGCGGTGGGGACTGGGGCAGAGAACTCCCCGAGCTGCAGGGCACTTTGGTTTGGTTTGGTTTGGTTTGGTTTGG